TAATGATCCACATTATGAAAATGTAAAGAACACGAATTTATGTTGGAAGAAATCAATATCGGTATGAAACGAAATTAATCAAGATCAGAAGAGACATTTTCAGGAGACAGTTTCAGTTTTCTTTGGTTCTGTTTAGCATTTAACCTGCTTAGTAAGCTGTTAAGGAAATCAGGATACAACTGCATTATCGAGAAGAGGAGCATTACGAAGCTCTCACCACTTCTGCATTAATCACCTGAAACTTTATATCGCAAATTCAAAAGAATTGGAATGTGTGTTCGAATTGGTATCAGATTTATCAAGCATATCAATCGGAATGGAATTCGGTCTAAGTAAATGTGCAGTTGTGCATGCTGCGCGTGTAAGCTATTGCAGTCAGAAAATCTGCATCTCGAAGACGGGACAGCAATTTAGGAACGAAGTTCAGATTCGTGTTATAAATATGCGGGACTACAGGAACTTCTCCGTACCGATTCTAAGCAGATGAAAGGAAATGCGATAAACTGATTCAACAGGCGCTTCTCGTTGGTTCTGAAAATCAACTTTCTCCAATAAATAAAATCAAGGTTTCCAATACCTGGGTTATGCCTATATTAGCGTTTTTTTCTGGAATCCTGAAATGAATCCCCCACCCCACCCCTATCAGCGGTTTTGATAGAAAGGCCAGAATCAGATTGACGTATTTTCACATGCATCATCCGAAATCATCTATAGTCAGGTTTGTTTAGCGCGGCGGTTGTAGTCTCCTGAACGTTGCTGATCTGTGCAAAGGAAAAGAAAAGACCCGTCTTGCATACTTTTGAGAAAGGATTTACGCCTGCGCAAAGCCATAGTGGAAGCTGACAAATGATATTAACCGCTAAAACTTCACGAAATCTATCAGCATATACGGAAGATAACCGTAATACAGTTGATAAGAAATCTCTTACTAAATGCACCTAATTGTGCTGCCCTTACATCTGATACTATCGACCTGAAAAGGTCGCTTGATCGACTTCGAGAGATGGAGATAGAGAGAGAGTTTTTTCGGAAACAATGATTTGCACTGACATTATAAGAAAGGGTGGTGCTCTTGAAGAACTACTGAAAATTCACCATAATGGTAAACCTATCGGTTAGAGGCAGAATTTGCTGCAATGCGACGAAATCGATCTAACATTTTGTCGTAAG